CAATTGTGTCAAGGATCTACAAATTTCAGCAACATATATAGTTTACTTTCTAAAAAATTGACATAATTATCATTACCAAATCTGGTGTTGTTTATTTGTTAATAGTTAGACTAGATATATTTAAGAAACAGATATATAACTATTATTATCTGAAAGTATCCAAAAAGTTGCACCTACTGTATTCAGAAAGATATAGCAGCCAATGTCAATATAGCTAACAGTAAGTTAGATTAGTTTGCAGGTGTCATGTTAATAATTGGAGAATTTAGTAAGATAATACATGAAGATCAGAAATTCTAGTTACTTTGCAATACAAATTAGTAATAATAACAAAAGTTTTTTATTTATCCTCTGACAATGTAGACTCATTATACAAGATTAGATATCAATACCTTTAAGAAACATCAATTTTATTACACATCTGACATTCTTCTCAACAAACAATTACTTTATGTCCAAACTTTCTTTATACTCTTTGATTACGATTTATCCTAAAATCAAAATATATCCTCCAAAGCTACTTTAATAGTAAATTTAATTATCACTTCTTAGTCTACAGTTCTAGTAATAGATTTTAAAATAGGAGATTTATACTAGGTAAAAATGATGAAAGATTAACATTACCAAAGGGTTGTCTTAATGTTAAAGACAATTATTGCTCTTCAGTCTTTAGTCCTAGTGATAGGTTCAAATGGAGAGTCAATGTTAGATACAAATAGTAAAAGATCTACTTTATTTTGATATACTGTATTTGAAGTTAGTATAGCTTGGAACCAACTCTTATTCCACTTGTCATATATTAAGCCATATTTGAAAAACAAATATATCAATTCTAATTATGACTTGGAGGCTAATCTGTATATAGTGAATATAGCACTTTCATATAATTAGATAATCAAATTCTTTAAATAGCTAAATAATATTCAAGGCATAATATAGGTTTTGAATTTCCTTTTTCTATATTCTTGAGTGGTACTAAGAAGCTTAAACAGATGGGTTGCAACTGTGAGCCTTGTATTAAACTCTTCCTAATAAAGAGAAATATATACTATATTATAGATTATAAATCTTATATGTGCAAGTCTAAAATTTATAATAAAAAAAGTGCATAGTGACTGCTTATTTCTTCAAAAAAAAATTAAGAAAGTTTATAACTTAGTTAATCAAATTAAAAATAATAATAAATAAATTATTGTTTTATAAACAAATTTGTTTGTAAAATAATTTAAGAAATAAATAAAAAAATATTAAACAAGTTAATATTTGAATTATTAAAATTAATTGTTTTATATTTTAATTTATTATAAAAATAATTATATTATTGATTAAATATTTTATATTATATTAAAAAAAAAAGATATTAAAAGATATAAATAAAAAAATTAAATATAGATAATTATTGCTTATATATAAATAATTAATTGAATAAAATATGATTAATTAATTTTTTATATTTGTATTATTAGTATTGATTTTTTTTATTAAATAATAAAAAAAAATATAAAATATAAAAAATACAGTTATTTATTGATTAAAAATTTAAAAGTATTATAAAATATTAAAAAAAAATCAATTAATATATCAAAAAACAAAAAGTTTATTTAATTAAAGAAAATAAACCAATTTAAAAAATATTAATAAAAAAAAAATAAATTTATATAATTACAATTGATATTTTAACAAGATGTTTTTTTAATAAATATTTTTGTATTAAATAATTAAGTTTCTATTAATTAAATATAATTTATAATTCAAAGATTTAAATAATTTAGATAAATATTCAAATTTAATTTAATTATTTTAATAAGTTTATAAATAAATTATTAAAAAATTATAAAAAAATTTATTATTACAATATAATATTATTAATAAACTTGATAAGTTAAAATTATAAATTAAAAAATAAATAAATATAAAAAACAAAACAAAACAAAAAGAATAATTAATAAAATATAAAAAATAAAATATTATATATTAATTATATATTAAAAAAAGTATCAAATTAAAAAAACATATATATTGTATATACAGTATATAATTTAAAAAACAATATTAAAAATATAAATTAAAAAAATATATGAAATATATAGATATATAAAAAAGTATATCAAAAATAAATAATATAAAATTTTTAAGAGTTATAGAGACTAATAAAATTAACAAAAAAAATAAATATGAAAAGAAATAAAAAAATAATTTTATATGTAATTAAATTAAATTTTTTATATTTTTATAATATATTTTAATAAATTTATCAAGTATTAATTATAATTATTAAATTTTATTATAATTTTATTTTGAAATATATATATATAATTAGTAAAATATAATGATAAATTAAATTTTTATAAATTATAATTTTTTATTCTGCTAAAATATATAGTATTGAATAATTTTGTAATTAAAAAAAAATTTAATTAAATTGTATAAATAAAAAATAATAAATATAAATTTATTGCATTTATTAAATGTTATAATTTTTAATATCAAATGTTTTATTTTTTTAATATCAAATTTTGTAAACTTTTTATTATCAAATATTTTTTAATTATGTTTTTATTAGTAAAAATTTTTTATTAGTAAATGTTTTTTAATTGCAAATGTTTTATTGATGATTTTTTTTTATGGTTAAATAATTATTATTTTATTGTTAAATATTTGTATTTTTATTATCAAACTGTTATATATGCTTTTAATATTATTTAATATTATTTAAATATTATATAGTATTTGAATAAAATTTAAAATTTTTTTTAAATTAAATCTTGGATTGAGTTTAAAAATGACTAGTTTTTTAATTTCTATATAATTTTTGCACAATCTAATGACATTGTATAAAACTTTAAATATTATATCTTGGAATTTATTAATTATATAATATCTTGGAATTTGTTAAATATATAATAACAAATTAATTTATTGTTTAATTATTTAATCTTAAATAATACGTGTTATAAAGTGTTTACAATATTATAATAGATCACTGTAATTAAATAATTGATAATTTTTATAATACAATATATTAAATGGTAAAAAATAAAATTGAATTAAACAATTAAATTACAACCAAGTATATTTAAATTTATTAATAAAAAATATACTTGGTTGTAATTTAATTGTAAAATAGTATGATTTGAATTAATATAAACAACATAAAATAGAAAAATTAATTGATTTTCTTTAAAATAAAATAATTATTAAAATTTTATTTGTCATTTTTTTTTTTTTTTAAAAAAAATAACATTTATAATACAGTATTTGTAAATAATTCTATATTTTAATAAATCATTACACAAAATTTTAAACAATCTAATACTTTGGAATAACTTATTTAACAAATTTTCTATTCTCTTAAAATTGATAAAAAATAATATTTAGTGAATTAATTTTGGTGAGTTTAAATTAATATTATAATTATAAAAATAACAATTTTAATATAAAATAAACCAGGCATAAGTTGACTTCTAATATTACTGGATGTAAGTATATATCGTATCGTACATGTATGTATATTTATTTATTTATTCAAGCTACAGTATATTAAAGAAATTATTCTTTTGCTTTTAATTTTTATCGGTTTCATAATTATTAAGATATTTTAACTATCCAATTATGTCATAAAAATATCGAAATGGAGATTTCCATTACTCATCACGCACGATATAAAAGACACTATGGCAGATCGAAAAAGAAAGTTCATTAATGCATTGTTTTATTAATATGCAAAAGGGGTCAACGTTAGTGGTTAAAGGTCGAATTCCGTCATAGGGTTTCTCTTTCAAATGCCCGAGTTTAGGGTAGACCTCGTTTGAAAAGAAGCGATCACATCTTGCAATCAAAGTTTTGGACAAATTTTTGTTAACGTTTCAAACAAGTGATACGTGTGTGCCGCGTTTTGTTCTTCCATGTCTTGTGTACTATTATGGTTAAGCTTAACTTTATGCCTGGGTAGAAAATCGCAAAAGAATCGAAATTAGGAGAGATGTGTGAAACACAGACAGAAGAAATGGGATCACTAACCAAATTGTTAACCAAATTATTATTGTTCTATATGGCGGATTGGTTGGGACACTTTAGTTTCCTAACAAGAATGAATACTTATTTACCATAATCGTTAATACTACAATAATAACTTTCTAGGTCGATCGATTTACATGTTGCAACAAAAATTTTTGTCGTTACAAGTTATTGACTTTTAAAACCAATTGGATAATTTCGTAAGTCGACTCGTTTGTTCCGTAGGAAGCTTCGCCTATGTGAAATGCCGTTCACTTTTAAAGATAGTTGAGTTGATCCTTAAAATTTATTAGGGTCGTAAATCCCGAAAACCTACTACGAGTTGCGTCTCAATCGATTTATTGTAATTAATTTCACCCAAACTTAACACATACGTTATTATGATTATCTCTGTTTAAATTGTTGATGGAACATCTTTCAAAACCCCTTATACACGAATTTTTGTTACACCGCTACGCAATTGGGGTTTCAAGGTAGTTTATGGTATCGGGTGATGGCTGCACTGGTCTTTCGACAAACTTCAATCTAATAATGTGCCAAGGTATACACTTATTTTACAAAAATAATGCAATTTTTTTTTTTTAAGATTCATAATTGGTTTCCTGCAACCAGAAATAATAATTGTTATGTGTTACTTTGGTGCGACCAACTATATGCGTGTAGGTACTTTGTTATAATCATTCGGTCTTTTTTTATCCTTTGGTGTGCGTTACTTGCACATGTCATACAAATTTTTTTATAAATAGTACGTGAAAGAACTTTGTTCCTCCCCTTAGAATTGCTAGTGTGGAGAGGTAATCATAGACTATTACGGCAATTGGTTAACATGTATATTATCTGAAGTACTTTGACAGTACCAAAAAAAATTTTTTGATTTCCTCTCCTATTTAACAAATTCCTCATCCTTCCTCCGAATAACTCACATTCTTTCAAAAACACTCAATTTCCATAAGGGATCTATCTAAAATTGTCATTTCTGGAAAATGGCAGAAAGCTTTTTGAAGAGAGAACTTGCTCCGAAACGTCTAGCTTTTTGGATATTTTGGTTTGGTAGTCACATTGGCCTGTTTATATATGGTTTCTTCAAGCAAAAAGATGATGTCGAGCTTAATAACTTGAATGTTCTCGGTCTCTCCGTTTGGAGTTCTCGTGGTGCCGGTCTGTGCTTAGCTTACGATGGTGCTCTTATCCTGTTACCCATGTGTCGGAATATTATAAAGTACTTGCGTGGCATTAGTTTTATAAATAAAATCATTCCGTTCGATGAGAACATCTGGTTTCATCGTCAAACCGCCTACGCTATGCTCGTTTTCACCTTGATACACGTCTTTGCTCATTACGTGAATTTCTGGAGGCTGGAACAGTTAAATAAATTTCAGGCGTGGCAACTTCATTACACCACCTGGGCAGGTCTCACTGGTCATTTCATGTTGTTGATGATGGTGTTGATGTATACCTCGGCTCATCGTAAGATGCGTGAACAATCATTCGAAACCTTTTGGTATACTCACCATTTGGCGTTCTTCTTCATGCTTTGCTTATATTTCCATGGATTCGGATGTTTCGTGCGCACTGCTAATGGAAAATGCAAAGGTTATATGTCGTGGCGGTTTACAATTGTGTCCGGTTGTATTTATTTCCTTGAACGTGTTCTGCGCGAAATCAGAGCGCGTCAAGAAACTCAAATCACCAAAGTCATTTCTCACCCATCGAGAGCCATCGAAATTCAATTCAACAAACCATCATTCCGTTACAAGGCCGGTCAATATCTATTCTTGAATGTGCCGGCAATATCAAGATGGCAGTGGCATCCGTTCACCATCACTTCTGCTCCGGATGACCCGTATGTTTCTGTGCACGTTCGTCAAGTTGGCGACTTTACCAACAAATTAGGTGAATTGCTGGGTTGTGACAGGAATGGTATGGATGTTAAGGGTTCGTTTCCCCCAGCGGAAATGCCAAAGCTGAGGATTGACGGGAGTTACGGTGCACCAGCCGAGGATGTGTTTAATAATGAAATTGCCATATTGGTTGGATGCGGAATTGGGGTTACTCCGTTTGCTTCTATCTTAAAGAACATTTGGTATGATTTATACTTCACTTGCTCCAGTTATTTATCACGTAGGATTGTTTCAAATTATCTAACTGACAAATTATTTCCTCAATTAATAGGTACCAACACAAAAATAAAAAACCATCGAAGCTAAGACGTGTGGAATTCTTCTGGATCTGTCGCGACACTGGTTCGTTTGAATGGTTCCAATCGCTGCTAAAGACCTTGGAGGCGACACAAATGGAAGAGGGCTTCCTAAAATTCCACATCTACCTCACCTCCAAACTCCGGGAATCCACCATCCAAAACATCATCATCAATGACGTGAGCGGTTCCTATGATCCGTTGACTGATCTGTCATCTCGCACTCACTACGGTCGACCCAATTTCGGCTACGTATTCTCCCAAATAGTTCGAGCCATCGATTCGGGCATGTATCTGCCAGGAAAAGAGAGTGACTTGCAAACAAACGTGGGTGTGTACTATTGCGGGCCTCCTCAGCTGGCCAAGAGTTTAAAGAATGAGACAAAGGCTGCCAGCACAGAAGGAATCAAGTTCCACTTTCACAAAGAGCATTTCTAAAATCACATACTCAAGTTAATCATTGGTTATACTTTCTAATTTTCATGTAATTAATATTTTTTTTTTTTAATGAGCTTCTAGTGCATGGTTATAGCTGTCTGTATTATAATTTATTGGTGCAGTTGCTAGTAGAAAAAAGGAAGATTTCTTCACGAAAGAATATCACTTCAACACAAAACTTGTTTGTATAAATAAACTTATAAATTTGGTTGCGCATCATTAACGGGAAATAGGGGAGAAACAAAAGATGATTGACTAAACGGTTATTTTGAACTTTTCGGTCTTGGCTACTTTCTATCAACGCCAACCGAATATTAAAATTAGAAAGATTTAGATAATAGATAATTAAAGATGAGATGATCAAATGCTTGCGATTTAAAGTATCGTAACATCTTAAGTGACATTTAAACAATAAGATGTGCTGTAATTATTAATTTATCGAAATTAAAATAAGTTCTCTAATATTTTTTTCAAAAGAATTATTAAAATCAATAATTTTTAGTTTAAATTATATACAGTATGTAAAGAAAGAAATCCCCAAAAAAATTTACACTTAAAATTTTTATAATTATATTAATAAATTTATTTACAATTTTATTCTTATTTATTTTACTTTTTTTTTCTAAAATTTTCGGCTTGAAAAAATGAAAACCGTATAAATAAATATATTGATGTTATTCTTTTTTAAACTGAATTTAAGTAAAAGAAAAAAGTGACCTAAAAAGTTTTTTGCAAAAAAAATCAAAGTATTAAATTAAAATTATAATAAGATAATTAATAAAACAATCCTCTCCAAAATTATTTTTTATTAAAAGTTCTTAAACCAATTTTCTATTTCTATTTAAAAAACCAATTAATAAATAAAATAATATTGAAAATATAAAAAATTGATTTTTTAGTTAATGAATTTTTAATATAATAATAATAGTATTTTTTTTTATTACAAAAAAATATTAAATATGATAATTTATTTAATTAATAGTATTTATTATTATTGTTATATAAATTGATCTTTACAATAAATAAATTAATATATATATATATTTTATTTTTAAATATTAATTGAATCTTTTTTATTAACTTTTGATACTTTATACATGTTATATTTATGTATTGTAAATAGTTTAATATATAGTTTTGATTAAAAAAAACTGGAATTAAATCTTTTTATATTATTATTACTGTTATTAAAGGCTAGCATAAACCTTGCTTAGCAGACTTTATTAAGGTTAATATTTACATATTACTATATAAAACTATACTATAATATTAATTATCTTTACATATGCTAAACTATATAGAAATTTCCTTATATATTAATTGTTACTATCAATTTTTTCTATTGAATAGAGATTAATACAAACATGTCAAAGCTTCGCTTGTTGCTGAGTTACTAGTATAGTTACTAATTGCTTTATTTTATTAAGACAGAATTAAAAAAAAATAATAAAGTACATTGGTAATAATATTTTTTACATAATAAATAAAACTTATATGACATCTGCTTATTCCATCAAAAATAAATTCCTTTATTATTATCTATAGCTAAGTTAACCATTTAATTTCTTACCTTGCTAAATAATATTCAAGAATATTCAAAATAGACTTATAACTGATTCTTACTGTTTAAATAATGACTTATATAACTTTGTACAAAGCAGATCTTACTGTCAAATGCCTTTTCAGAATAAATATTACTAAACTAGTTTATTACTAAATTGAGATAAGACTAAAACAGAAATTAATATAAAAAACATTTGATATTAGAAGAGCAATTATCAAACTTGCTTGTTAAAAATGAATATCTCATATATCTTGCAACTTTTGGTAATTATTATAATGCCAATTGAATAATTGTTATATTATAATACTTTTTTAAGAAGATTACAATCTCAATATCTACTGAATCAATATATGAAATGGCTTCTTATAAAAAATAACACTTTTAATAGGTTATGGTATCAAATATCATATATGTTTTATTTAATTGTCTTCATCTAAAATTGAATCAATATTTTGTGATTTGACTTGTAAAGCACTAACCACTATATTATAAACCTACAGGTCTTTTTATTTTTTTATTTTTAATTCAATAAAAAATTAATAAAATAAAATAAAATTATATATATATATATTTGAAAATTAAAGAATATATTTTCTTAAAAATTTTTTTAAAAAATATTAATACTAATATTATTAAATTTTATTTTGAAAATAAAAATTTATTTTTAAAAAATTTATTTTTATATTAAGGTAAAACATGTTTATGATCTTTATTAATAAGGTAATTATTACACAATTAATATTAAGATATAAGATATATGGACAAAGTTATATTATATACATATTAGTCTACTATTTATTGTAGTAAATATATTTTTATTAAAAAATCTCAAGGCAGAAAAAGTTAAAAAGAAACTATCTATATATAAAGATAAAATAAATTAGTAATATAAAAAAAGAGACAAAATCATTTTGAATAAAAAAAACATATGGATGTAATAATTTAAAAAATAGAATATATAAATATGAAATTACTATATATATTAAATTCAAAATTAAGATTAATTACTTACTGAAATCAGATATAGTTAAATATATTTTAAAAAAAAAGTAAAATATTGTAGTGATAATGTGTATTAAGATTTAAAAATGTATTATATTTGAATTAACAATTTTTTTTACAAGATACAAATTAAATATGTCTAATTAAATTACTTCTTTTTTTTTTTTATAGCTGAACATAACTTTAGCAGAAGTAAGGAAATACTGGCTTAAGCTATCAAATTATAGGGCATAACTTTCTAATATTTTATTTCTATTCACAATAAAAGTATAAAAGTCTTAATAAACTTTACTGAAACCTATCAATTTCTGACAATCTAATCATATGATTGTTGCAATTTTGTGACTGAATTGTGAAAATTATATCATAATTTAATAGTTTTTATTATGTAGCAACGAAATATTAACCATTTAGTAGTAATTAAATTATTGTTTCAATAATGATATTTTTTTTTTTATTATTATTATTTTTTTTTTATACTCCAAATCAGGCTGTATGCCTACTAGTTTATTAATCCTATTTTGTCAGAAAGCTTGTACATTGTATTAAAAATACTATGGTGACGCTAAACTATTCTATTGCTATACAGCACACCCGTCGTAAGCCGAAGCCTCTAGATGTGATTATGGGGAATGAAGAAAATCGCTCAATTTTATCTTGGAACATCCTACCAATCTAAAACATCACAGCCAGCCCTCA